AGGATTGCATGGACTATGCTAGAAGATGTCAACCATGCCAATATCACGCAAATTTCATCCATCAAGCACCAGAGCCTTTGCATCCGACAGTAGCATCATGGCCATTCGACGCTTGGGGACTTGACGTGGTTGGGCCAATCATGCCTAGCTCATCAGGAGGGCATTCATACATACTAGCCGCTACTGATTACTACTCAAAATGGGCCGAAGCAGTTGCATTGAAAGAGGTGAAGAAGGAAAATGTTGCTGATTTCATCCGAGTTCATATTATCTATCGCTTTGGTATTCCCCGATATATCTTGACGGACAATGGGAAACCTTTTGACAACAAGTTGATGGACAAGATATGCAAGTTATTTGATTTCAAGCAACGGAAGTCATGTACTATGCGGCCGCCAATGGCCTCGTTGAAGCTTTTAACAAGACTCTATGCAACCTGTTGAAGAAAGTAGTGTCAAAATCAAAAAGGGATTGACACGAAAGAATAGAAGAAGCATTATGGGCATATAGAACGACTTATCGAACACCTACTCAAAGCACTCCATATTCCTTGGTGTATGGTACCGAAGCAGTCCTTCCCCTTGAGCGCCAAATACCATCCCTGAGATTGGCTATTCAAGAAGGACTCACTGATGAAGAAAACGTCAAGTTGCGGTTGACAGAACTCGAGGCACTTGATGAAAAGAGGTTAGAAGCTCAGCAGAACCTAGAATGCTATCAGGCTCGTCTATCGAAATCATTCAACAAAAGGGTTAGAATTCGCTCATTCCAAGTTGGCGATAAAGTTCTAGCTGTGAGAAGACCTATCATTATCACACGAAAAAAGGGGCACAAATTCTCACCTAAATGGGATGGTCCTTATGTTATTCAAAAAGTATATTCAGGCGGTGCCTACAAGTTGGTCGATGGAGATGGCTCAAAGATTGGCCCGATCAATGGAAGATTTTTAAAGCTCTACTACCCTTGATATTTGGGGTATAGATATGGCCATAAGAAATGTTGAATGACTTAAAACCACCAATGATGTTGTAAGTGGCTAAACTGCTAAAACATCTCACTTTGTCTATGGGTGAGCATAATCATAGATACTCTTGGCCCACGAGAGTTTAAAATGTGTACGGCGAGCTCTTGGCCCACGAGAGTTTAAAATGTGTACAGCAAGCTCCTGGCCCGCATGAGTTAAAACTGTGTACGGTCCCCTCCTTTAGATTACCAATTCGAATGGTACTTATGAACTACGTTTGACCTGATCTCCTTCATAGGAGTACGCAGGCAGCTCAAAAGTTTCATTTTTTGAGTTCAGTCATAACAACACAAACCCTCAATAAAGTTTGATCTCAGTCACTTTGAAAAAAAGAAGAAGAAAGAAATAGAAAACAGAAGAAGAAGCAAGACAATATCAACTCATGAGAAGCAACAAAGGAATCAAATATCCATATAAAGTTTGGTAAGAAGTAAGGAAAAGAGTTGTTTGCTGACTAAAAGCTAATCTAAAAGCTAAGTATCAGCCTAAAAACAATATAAAGCTAACTAAGTCATCCTTCAAGGCCTCTAGCTCCTTCTTCTGAGTACTTAAAGCAAATTGATCCTCATCTGATGCTTTGATAGTCTTCAAAATCCGTGAAGATTCCTCCTTAGCCTTCGTAAGAGCTGCGTCTAAGTCACTAGCCTCTACACGACGCTTGGAGATCGAAACTTCTACTTCCTTAGCTTCAGCTTCCAACAAGGCTATCTTCTTCTTGTTATCATTAAGAGATTTCTCATCATCAAGTAATGCCACTTGGTTTTGAGATCTCTTAGCTTCAATATCTTCACAAAAAGCCTGCGACATAGCCAATTCCTGAGATTGTTTCTCAAAAGGAACCCTATCAGCAACAGTCGAACACGTCTGATCAAATGCTTGTGCCCTTTCTTAGAAATGCTTCACTCTCGTCTTCAATATGAAAAGGTCAATGCCTTCCTTCTCCATCAAGACAACACAATTCTCAATACTCTCCCGAAGAGATGAGACGTTCTCTGTTGTAGCCCGTCCTAACTTTTGTTGAATGCCACTCCAAGTATTAATGACGAACTGGTTATACAAAGTAAAGAAGTAGTCTTCTGCATGGAATACAGATTCAGCCGGTTTCGCATGAGAAGATTTGGGTATTTCATGGATCGGAACTTCTTTACAATGACTTGGGCCGGTTTCTGCTATCAATCCAGCGACGGTGTCATGATCTGCGCTTTCTCCTTCACTTGAGCTAGATGAAGAAACATGATTCGAAGAACTAGCATCATCAAGGACTGCATGAATCTGCAAAAGAAGGAAGAAAATATAAGTACAAGCTTGAAACAAAACTATAAAATGATGAAACTAACCTTCAGTGGTCCAAGACGAGGTTTTCTAAGATGTTTCCAGTTCTTCTCATCACTACTCTGCTTTTCAAGAACTTGATTCTCACTCACCTTGGCAGGAGACATTTCTTTCTCAGCATCCTCGATCAAAACTTCATCCCTAGGTGCTGCAAGCATAGCCTTTTTCTGGGGCAAAGACTTAGCCTCAGTATCAGGTGTCCGTTTCTTCTTGGAGACCAGAGTCACGGGATCTGAAGGGGTGATCACATCGTCAACTGCAAGATCGCAAATCCTAATCAAGTCACCCACATGATTCTCGAGGTAGTTACCATGAACTTGGCTCCACCACTCTTTATACTCCAAGGAGAAATACTTCGCTGGAATAGTAGAAGGAGTCAGAAATACCGCTTCAGCTTGTGACATGCCGTGCTCAAACTGTAGCCAAAGCTGAAAGCCAGCAGCAAGTGTGACACTCCGATTACGCATCTCAAGAAAGCCAGGAGCATAAGCCTGAAAATACCCAAATTGGCGACTAAAGCGGTGAGGAGTGTAAGGCTCAGCAATGCAATGATCCCGGTAGCGTAATACAAGATAATTAGACCGAAGACTCCTAAAAAGCGCCAACTCAGCCTCTGGAGGATTTTTACCATCGAAGAATGAATATTCTTTGATTCTCTGATGCGTAGAACACACCCATGCTGATACATCTCCCTGGAAAATTCGTTTGCGCGCACTTCTCTTCTCGAGGGATCTCGCTCCACTTTCTCCTGAATAAGAAATCATTAATGGCGTCGTGGACTGGATCTCATTCTTAAAATGCGTATCAAAGTATGATGCCAACCATCCATAAACATAGTGAACGGGAAAACACGTTCTAACTTGATCAGGAGCCGGAGCATTCGAGATCCGATTAAGCCCATGATAGACACTTGCAAGAACCGGGACCGCAAGGCATACACGTTTCCCTCGAGCCAACATACAAGCAACCCTGAATGTTTCCGGGCGGATAACTCTAGGACCTTCATGCGGCAATACAAATGCGCAAAGCCAACACGATAAAAATGCCGCTAAATATACCTCTTCCTCATATTCAGCAGAAACCTTGAGTACGTGGAATGGTACCCTCATAGAATTCGACCATCCCCCAAATTTTGGAATAGCTCCGCTCGGATTATGGGTCGCCTTGGCACGAGATGTTCGTTTCTTTTCTGTTCTCACTGGAGGCATAGTATACTTGGAGGCCTTTCTGAACCAGAATTTGACCCACACATGAACACGCAAAACACACTTATCTCCGGCTTTAGGAAAGAGATGATGATATGCGTGAAACAAATATTTGCAGAGATGAAATGAACGGTCATCGCTCGTATTTAACAACTCAGAAGAGCCCGGAATAGATTCATCATATGCGTCTCCTATGATAGGCAATCCTCCGATAACGTGCAAGTCCCAAAGTGTGATCGTCAATTCGCCAATTGACGTAAGCAAAGTATTCGTCGTGGGACACCATGCCTCACAAAATGCTTGAATAACATTAGTACATCGGTCATACGTGAATAATGAGGCATAAACAACATCGTAAATAAGCCCTTCCTCCAGAACGCTTTTACTCATGCCCAAAATATCTTCGGCCCAGTCCCAATAACCTGTGATGAATCTAAACTCACCACAAAATGATAAGGTCTTTGTCAAAGGGGCGTTTTCATCAAGGACGCGTCTACCCAAAGAAGGAAGAATCTCAGAAGAGGACATGTGAATAAAGCCAGATACTAAAGTCCGCATTGTCTGAGCTTGATACTCGCACTCAGGAGTCCAGTTTGTAACTCGATAGGACACAACTGTTGGACCCCAAAACTCGCGAGCAAATGGCTTGTGCATCTCCAAAAGAATCTCTTCGTCATTCTTCTTGCTCGTTGATATGGAGCGATACTTTTTGCCTCCACGCCTTACGTCCTTAAAAGATATCATTTTGGACTGCAAAAAAAATCATTATTCTTATTATTATTACTTAAAAAAAACTAAAGTAATAATAATAATAATAAAGAAAAAAAAAACAGGCCGCTCAGCAATGATAATCAATCTCAAGTCTGAGCAGTTGACTTCATCTTCCGACTAGACGAACAAAGAAATCAGTAACACTGACCAATAATTAGTCAAGCTCCTTCAAAATAGACAAAGGTCGAAAGCAGTGGTAACATCTCAGTCTTCAACAAGTGCAATTAGCCAAAGTCTCTAGATTGGTGCCACTAGCCCAACGAAGGGCCCCAAGTAACACCAATGATCGGCAATCAGCCTATATCTTTAGATCGGTGCCACTAGCCCAACGAAGGACCCCAAGCGACACCGACGACTTCATTGGCCTAAGTCTTTAGAACGGTGCCACTAGCCCAACGAAGGGCCCGAACGACACCGACAACCGACAATAGGCTCAACTCCTTCTTCTTCAACAAGTGACACCACGTTCAAATCACTTCAAATAGCAAAGAAATCGGGCCTCCTTATTATTAAATAGCTCCACTTGTGGAATACAGCCCAAGCCTTTAAAAATGGGAAGGCTTAAATTCTGGACAGGCCCAATGTTTATTAAAAACAGCCCAGTTCCCATTCCCTGGGTCGTCTTCACGCGGCAGGCAACAAACATTTCCCATTCCCAATCTGGAAGGCTTAAATTGTGGAATCGATCGTGCTTTCTCAGTCCTCGCCAAAAACGCAACAAACACCGCCATCAGCTTCATCCGCAACAGCAGAGCATCGGCCTCCCACCATCTTCTCCAGCAACCAACCGAATCTATCCTCTGGCTGGAAATCAAGTCTAAGCTCCAGCCGTACTTCTTCTTCAATGTACAGATGGAGGAAGGATTGAAGGAATCAACAGCAATTTTTTTTGAAGCCTCCGTCTGCTGCTCACCATCAGAATTGAACCCCCAGCAGCACCATCCGACGGCAGCCCTTCTTCTCCGACCAGGAATCGACTTCAAAGACCCGGCCAGGTCTTCTCTCCAGCAAATGAACAACCCAACAAGCAGCACAAGTAATTTCCTCTCTGCACCGGCGGTCAAAATAAATAAACGGATGGCTACAACTCTGGAAGAATCTCACTGCAGGCCCACCTCCTTGAATCAACTTTGAATTACCGCATCAACAAAATTCCGGCCGGCGACTTTCGAACTCTACTTCCAACTGCAGCGGCCAATTCAGTTGTTCATCACAATCATCTATATTGATATTCTACGGAGCTTCTCATTATGCTTTGTTCCTCCATATTATTTGATACCTGCTCAATGAAGGAGAATAGAAGAAAAGGTTATACAATTAAAAGTATATATTTTTTTACCTTAAATTTTCTTCTCTGCTCCAAATCAGTTATCTGGTTGATTATGCCTATCCTGAAATTTTGGTGCTGCGTACGTAGTTTACGGATGGTGGGTTCTATTTATAAAGTTGAATTGTCCTAGTTCAAATCAGATTGGTTGGACTTAGAGTTCTTGAGTGGGAATGATTACATACTCCGTATAAGTCATAGTGGGTCTCAGAAATTGAGATGAACTAAGATGCTGAGTTCTAATAACAATTGGACTCTACTTAATTTTATTACGTAAGAATGGCAGTAGGTTGCACTATTGGCTTGATTTAATTTTGATAATCATGGAGTATTTGGGTGACTCGTCTAATGGTTAGTTTAGCTAATAGCTATCGAGTCTGGCCCGCCCTTTTCAGAATGAAAAGTTCAAGCAAGTCTCGAGGGGGCATTTGTGAACATTTAAAATTTAATGGGCCGGTTCTGATAGTCAATGGACTTCTTCAAACGATATCGGGCTATTACTGATCTTATTAGGCTTCTTTTAAAAGCTATTGGATCAACTTCAGGTTCTACTAGGTTGCTCGTGTGGTTATTGGGTCTCATAAAAAAAAAATTAATATGGACCTATTCGGATAAAATTTAATAATTGAATTAATTTGGGTTATTAAAATATATATATATATATACCCAATTGATTTAATTATAAATTAAATCTTTAAAAGAATAGACCGGTCATATTAATTTATTTTGAGCCCAATATTAAATAATAGCCCAGTGAATAAGAGGTATAATCCAACTTTTGAAGTGGACGACGAATCTGATTAAAAATCAGTCCATATGCATGGAAAATGGTTGTGAACCTTGTTAAAAAGGCTGTCCAGATATATCAAACAAGCGCTGATTTTTCTAGCTATTAAATGCAAGCAAATAGAGTCCAAAGCCCATTTTAATTAAGGCCCATGAGATATGGACGAATTTGACAACCCTAAAAGCATATTTTCACCCCATCCACACCTATAAATAGGGGTCTCAGTTGAGAGGAAAGGAAGAGAATTTTCAGACGAAGAAACGTTGCAGAAAAGCTCTCAAGAACTCCCGAAAGGCTCTGAACGATTCCGAAGAAGAGGAATAGATCAAGCCACGATTTTTGTTAAGAATATACGAATAATCCTTCGTGATTTCGTCGATTCTTAATAAAATAAATCCAAAAGTTGAAGAACGTTCGAAGATCTGAAGAACGAAGCTTGAAGATTCGAAGATCTGAAGAACAAGACTTTGAAGATTTGAAGATATGAAGAACGAAACTTTGAAGATTTGAAGATATTCATATTAAGATTGAATCAAGATTCAATTGAAGATCAAGCCGCATATCCCGGGAGGCCCTTAAACAGAAGATCAAGCCACAAAACGGCCCTTTTGTTGAAGATCAAGCCATTTGAAAACCGGAGGCCCTTCAAACTGAATTCTTAATTCAAGAATATTTGAAGATTCAAAGAACGAAGATTCAAAGATTCAAAGAACAAAACTTTGAAGATGTGAAGATTCGAAGAACGAAGGTTCGAAGATTTGAAGATCTGACGAACGTTCGAATATTTGAAGAATTAAAGATTTAATTTTGAATTAATTTCTTTAATTATATTTATTTCAAATTGCAAGTGAAGAATCAGAGGATTCATATTTAGAGATTGTACCCAATAGTCACTTGTTGAAGAAGAAGAAGGAGTTAAGCCTATTGTCGGTTGTCGGTGTCGCTCGGGGCCCTTCGTTGGGCTAGTGGCACCGTTCTAAAGACTTAGGCCAATGAAGTCGTCGGTGTCGCTTGGGGCCCTTCGTTGGGTTAGTGGCACCGATCTAAAGAATTGTTCTGATCGCCGCTTATCCGTGTCGCTTGGGGTCCTTCGTTGGGCTAGTGGCACCGATCTAAAGATATAGGCCGATTGTCGATCATTGGTGTTACTTGGGGCCCTTCGTTGGGCTGGTGGCACCAATCTAGAGACTTCGGCTAATTGCACTTGTTGAAGACTGAGATGTTACCATTGCTTTCGACCTTTGTCTATTCTGAAGGAGCTTGACTAATTATTGGCCAGTGTTACTGATTTCTTTGTTCGTTTAGTCGGAAGATGAAGTCAACTGCTCAGACTTGAGATTGATTATCATTGCTGAGCGGCCTGTTTTTTTTCTTTATTATTATTATTATTACTTTAGTTTTTTTAGTAATAATAATAAGAATAATGATTTTTTTTTGCAGTCCAAAATGATATCCCCATATCAACGAGCAAGAAGAATGACGAAGAGATTCTTTTGGAGATGCACAAGCCATTTGCTCGCGAGTTTTGGGGTCCAATGGTTGTGTCCTATCGAGTTACAAACTGGACTCCTGAGTGCGAGTATCAAGCTCAGACAATGCGGACTTTAGTATCTGGCTTTATTCACATGTCCTCTTCTGAGATTCTTCCTTCTTTGGGTAGACGCATCCTTGATGAAAATGCCCCTTTGACAAAGACCTTATCATTTGGTGGTGAGTTTAGATTCATCACAGGTTATTGGGACTGGACCGAAGATAATTTGGGCATGAGTAAAAGCATTCTGGAGGAAGGGCTTATTTACGATGCTGTTTATGCCTCATTATTCATGTATGACCGATGTACTAATGTTATTCAAGCATTTTGTGAGGCATGGTGTCCCACGACGAATACTTTGCTTACGTCAATTGGCGAATTGACGATCACACTTTGGGACTTGCATGTTATCGGAGGATTGCCTATCATAGGAGACGCATATGATGAATCTATTTCGGGCTCTTCTGAGTTGTTAAATACGAGCGCTGACCGTTCATTTCATCTCTGCAAATATTTGTTTCACGCATATCATCATCTCTTTCCTAAAGCCGGAGATAAGCGTGTTTTGCGTGTTCATGCGTGGGTCAAATTCTGGTTCAGAAAGGCCTCCAAGTATACTATGCCTCCAGTGAGAACAGAAAAGAAACGAACATCTCGTGCCAAGGCGACCCATAATCCGAGCGGAGCTATTCCAAAATTTGGGGGATGGTCGAATTCTATGAGGGTACCATTCCACGTACTCAAGGTTCCTGCTGAATATGAGGAAGAGGTATATTTAGCGGCATTTTTATCGTGTTGGCTTTGCGCATTTGTATTGCCGCATGAAGGTCCTAGAGTTATCCGCCTGGAAACATTCAGGGTTGCTTGTATGTTGGCTCGAGGGAAACGTGTATGCCTTGCGGTCCCGGTTCTTGCAAGTGTCTATCATGGGCTTAATCGGATCTCGAATGCTCCAGCTCCTGATCAAGTTAGAACGTGTTTTCCCGTTCACTATGTTTATGGATGGTTGGCATCATACTTTGATACGCATTTTAAGAATGAGATCCAGTCCAAGACGCCATTAATGATTTCTTATTCAGGAGAAAGTGGAGCGAGATCCCTCGAGAAGAGAATTGCGCGCAAACGAATTTTCCAGGGAGATGTATCAGCATGGGTGTGTTCTACGCATCGGAGAATCAAAGAATATTCATTCTTCGATGGTAAAAATCCTCCAGAGGCTGAGTTGGCGCTTTTTAGGAGTCTTCGGTCTAATTATCTTGTATTACGCTACCGGGATCATTGCATTGCTGAGCCTTACACTCCTCACCGCTTTAGTCGCCAATTTGGGTATTTTCAGGCTTATGCTCCTGACTTTCTTGAGATGCGTAAACGGAGTGTCACACTTGCTGCTGGCTTTCAGCTTTGGCTACAGTTTGAGCACGACATGTCACAAGCTGAAGCGGTATTTCCGACTCCTCCTACTATTCTAGCGAAGTATTTCTCCTTGGAGTATAAAGAGTGGTGGAGCCAAGTTCATGGTAACTACCTCGAGAATCATGTGGGTGACTTGATTAGGATTTGCGATCTTGCAGTTGACGATGTGATCACCCCTTCAGATCCTGTGACTCTGGTCTCCAAGAAGAAACGGGCACCTGATACTGAGGCTAAATCTTTGCCTCAAAAAAGGCTATGCTTGCAGCACCTAGGGCTGAAGTTTTCATCGAGGATGCTGAGAAAGAAATGTCTCCTGCCAAGGTGAGTGAGAATCAAGATCTTGAAAAGCAGAGTAGTGATGAGAAGAACTGGAAACATCTTAGAAAACCTCGTCTTGGACCACTGAAGGTTAGTTTCATCATTTTATAGCTTTGTTTCAAGCTTGTACTTATATTTTCTTCCTTCTTTTGCAGATTCATGCAGTCCTTGATGATGCTAGTTCTTCGAATCATGTTTCTTCATCTAGCTCAAGTGAAGGAGAAAGCGCAGATCATGACACCGTCGCTGGATTGATAGCAGAAACCGGCCCAAGTCATTGTAAAGAAGTCCCGATCCATGAAATACCCAAATCTTCTCATGCGAAACCGGCTGCATCTGTATTCCATGCAGAAGACTACTTCTTTACTTTGTATAAGCAGTTCGTCATTAATACTTGGAGTGGCATTCAACAAAAGTTAGGAGAGGCTACAGCAGAGAACGTCTCATCTCTTCGGGAGAGTGTTGAGAATTGTGTTGTCTTGATGGAGAAGGAGGGCATTGACCTTTCCATGTTGAAGACGAGAGTGAAGCATTTCTTTGAAAGGGCACAAGCATTTGATCAGACGTGTTCGACTGTTGCTGATAGGGTTCCTTTTGAGAAACAATCTCAGGAATTGGCTATGTCGCAGGCTTTTTGTGAAGATATTAAAGCTAAGAGATCTCAAAATCAAGTGGCATTACTTGATGATGAGAAATCTCTTAATGATATCAAGAAGAAGATGGCCTTATTGGAAGCTGAAGCTAAGGAAGTAGAAGTTTCGATCTCCAAGCGTCGTGTAGAGGCTAGTGACTTAGACGCAGCTCTTACGAAGGCTAAGGAGGAATCTTCACGGATTTTGAAGACTATCAAAGCATCAGATTAGGATCAATTTGCTTTAAGTACTCAGAAGAAGGAGCTAGAGGCCTTGAAGGATGACTTAGTTAGCTTTAAATTGTTTTTAGGCTGATACTTAGCTTTTAGATTAGCTTTTAGTCAGCAAACAACTCTTTTCCTTACTTCTTACCAAACTTTATATGAATATTTGCTTCCTTTGTTGTTTCTCATGAGTTGATATTGCCTTGCTTCTTCTTCTGTTTTCTCTTTCTTTCTTCTTTTTTTTTTCAAAGTGACTGAGATCAAACTTTATTGAGG